TGTATGTATATGTGATATATGTATGTACGCATTAATGAAAATATGTTAGATATGGTACCTTGATTAAATTACAAGTGTAGCAGAGACAAAAAAATGATAATGATGTATGCCAGGTGTAAGAGAAGATGAACTCAATGCACAACAGTTTTGGTGGTTCAGGAGGGTACCCGGGGCCCTACCCTGGGTATGTGCCACCCCCAACAGCCCTCCCCTACTACAATGGCTACCCAGGTGACCTGACTCAAGTATCCAGCCCTTATTATGGCAAACCAGCCGCCGTCCCTCCAGGGTATTCCTCAGGCATGGGCAGCTACTCTGCCCCTCCCATCAACAACTCTTCAATGTACTACCAGCAGTATGGGCTCGGGTACCAGTATGGGTACACAAAGTATGGCTTGGGGTCAGGGCTGGGCTCCAGCCTGGGTTCAAACTTGGGCTACTCTTCAGAGCTTGCTGGAGCCTCAGGCATCACGCCTCCCTCCCTGGGAGGACTGCAAGCTCCCACCACAGACCTTGGTTTAACGGGCTCTATGTTCTCAAAAGGGAAATACAATGGTGGGCAGGGTAGTCCGTCACCACTGACTGCTGCTGGACTGGGTGTGGGGCATGGGGGTTCATCTTTATTATCACCTGTTACTTCCACGCCTCCATCCCCAGGACCTCACAACATCCCGAGTGGACTAGCAGGTACAGGTGCAACCCCAAGCCCCCCTGTCGACATCATTGAATCGAAGAAAGACCTAGACAAAATGCGAAGATGTCAGGTGTGCGGGCAGGTGTTTCGTCTGATGAGTGAATGTCTTGCCCACATGAAATCGGTGCACGCAGTTCATGAAGCACCACTCAGTGTGTACAGCTTACAGCATAGTGCTGGAAGTCACCTCACACAGTCTCTCTCATCAACAACCTCCTCGGGAGTCCCCTCTGCCCTCAGTACGAGCCTTGGGCCCCCCAACAGCACCAGAGCAGGTGGAGTGGGTGCTCCTGACAGCCCCCTGATGGCACTGGAACGTATGGGCTGGGGGGAGAAGCAGAGCCTCTTACCGTCTCTGCATGCCTCCCCCTCACCTCTTACTCCAGCTTACACCCCTGCTCCAGCTGTCACTCCTGGGCCTCAACACCCGTCCACCCAGCACCTGTCCAGCCAACACATGTCTAGCCAGCACCCCCCTAGCCAGCACCACCCACAACACCACTCATCTCAACACTCGGCTCAACACACCTCCAATCACCACCCTGCCTCTCAAACCCCCCCAGCACCACACCCCCTGATGGAGACCAGTCAAGACCACCACAGTGCGCGAACACCAGTTAGTAGCTTATCCATGACATACTCCATGAGGACAGATACGCAAGTTTCTCAGGCTCATAGTAGACATGCGTATTCAAGCCCAACATGCTCAGTGCCAGAGAATATTCCAGTGAGTGACACCAGAACTGAAATAGGAGTAAGTTCAAATTACAGTAAGCCAAGGAAAACAAGTTCTTATTCAGTGTCTAGTATTATTGGAGAAACAAAAGAAAGGGTGATTGAACGTGAAAGTAATGTTGCACATGAAATACCTAATAGTTTGACAGGTCAGAGTCCAACCAGAAGACAGGTGTCCCCAGCAGGAAGATCATCTATGCCAGATGGGTTTGAGCAGAGAATATCGCAGCTGAAACAGCAGTCGGCAGAAAACTCTCACTGTTCCCGGACTGCATCTCGGACAGCTGCTGAAGAGTACAGTATGCCAGAGAGGGAGACCCAGGGGCAGAAGGAGCAAGTAGTGCCAGATCAGCATCACAGCCAGCAAGTAGATGTGCACAAAGGATTGCAGATGTCCCATGGAACACCTGATAGCCAGAAAGAGGACCAAAAGTCCTTAGCAGATGAGAGGAGAGATGTTCCAGAGGATTTGTCACGTCATGTGCCGTCGTCCCCAACGACTATCCATGGAACACTCCCCTCTCTGCACCATGTTCCATCAAGGGAAACCTCTCACGTTCAGGAAGAGATGATGTACGAAAAGACAGAAAAGAAACGCCATCTGAATTCTCGTATGGAAGATACCAGTGATTCTACTCGAGTAAATTCTCCACAGCAGAAAGAGGATGATAGAACCAACAGTTCCATTGTTAATCAACAACCTAGTCCTCAGGAGGTTGCCAAGGAGCCATTATCCATGGAAAAAGCCACTGCAGTTTTGAAGGAACAGGTGTCACAGATTGGTAAGCGGTCCTGGAGCCCAGCTCAATCGCACTATGTGCAGCATCAATTGCCACAGCAACAACAGACTAGCTATCAACAGACTAATCAGCAGCAGCAGCCAGCATCTGCTGCGCAGCATCAAGTACCACAGCCTAAACACCAGCAAGCCCAACAGTCTCAGCATCAGCAGTCACAGTTATCACAGCAACAGTCACAGCTGTCCCAACATCAGCAGCCACAGGCACCACAGCACTTGCAAGGCCAGCAACAGCAGCAGCAGCAGCAAGGGCAGCAGGTTCACCATCATCAAGGACAGCAGTCACAGCAGAACTCCCAGCAGCCACAACAGTCTCAGCATCAAGCACAACAGACTCAGCAGCCCTCACAACTGTCCCAGTCACAGCAACAACCTACACAAATTTCCCAATCCCAACAGACCCAGCAGCTATCACAGCCACAGCAGCAGTCACAGCTGACACAGCCACAGCAACCCCCACAGATTCAAGCTCAACACCCACCACAACTGTCCCAGGCTCAGCAAGCCCCGAAGCCACAGCCGCCCCCATCACAGCAGCCACAGCAGCACCACCATCCACAGCAGCAACGGCAGCCCCAACAGCCTGGCTACTCCAACTGGTCAGGAGGTGTGGGCTCAGGATACTCAGGTCAAGGCACTCAGTACCCGTATGGATATTCTCAGGGTAGTAATAGTCAGTCTTCTGCAGGCGGTCAGCACCCCCAGTCTCCCATGGCAGCTCACAAGTCCTCTAGCTACCACCCCATGCCAAATAACTATGCATCTCCATATGGAGCATCGCCAGGCTCAGGCTATCCTCCTGATCTGGCTGGTCGGGGCCCCCCAGGTCAGCAAGGATATCCAGCTGCTCACTGGTATGCTGCAGCTGGTGCTGGCCGCATGGACTCAAAGTCAGGCTGGAATATCTGGGGTGGCCAGGGGCACCAGCCTGCAGGATTTCCACAGTCATATGCTCCTTACCCATACCCAGCTGCAGGCCAGCAGCAACAGCAAAAGTCACAGCTTTCACAGCAACAGTCACAGCAACAACATTCCCAGCCACAGAAACAGTCACAGCCAGCACAGCCTCAGCTGCCACAGCCATCACAGTCTCTGCAAGCACAATCACAGCAGATACTACAGTCTCAGATCATGCAGTCTCAGCCACAGCCCCCAATACAAACGCAACACCAACCCCCTCAGCCTCAGGGTGGGCCTTCCCAGGCCCTCCAGACACAGGGGCCTCAGCCCCCGCAACCTAAAACCCCTCGGCCAAAAACACCACAGTCACAGCCACAACCACAAACTGCGCCTCCACACACACCTCAGCAACAGCCACACACCCCACAGACGCAGCCTCATACCCCACAGCAACCCCCACACACTCCACAGCAACCACCACACACTCCTCAGCAACCTCCACAAACTCCACAGCAACAGGCACCACAGATGCAACCACCACAAGTACAGCCACCCTCCCATTCACAGCCTCAACAAACACCACAACAGCCACAGCCACAGCCACAGCAACTACCACAACCACAACAGCAACAACAGACCCACAAACAACAGCCAGAACCACAACTCCAGATGCAGCCGGAAGTACCACCCCAGTCAATGGCAGCAACACCTGAGCCCCAGGCAGCAGAGGGGTCACAGGAGGCTCTGGGCTCCAGACAATCAGAGCAAGAGCTAGAGGAAGCTCTTGATCAAGAAAATGCTGAGAATGAGGAAGAGGAGCAGCTTGAGCATTATCCGCCTGCTGAACGGGCAAATTCAGAGGATCCTGATTTCCAAAAGGAAAAACTTGCTGCTGTAGACAATCACATGGATTACCAAAGCAAGTCAAAGGTAACAACTCGTCCCCCAACAAATTCAGTCCCAAAGAAACCAGTGTATAAGATTGGACCCAAGAGCAAAACATTGGCAGCAAAGCAATACAGTCAAATTGATGATCTAGATGACTACAAGTGCACTATAACAGTCCATGAAAATGGGTCTGTCAATGGCTATGGGGTCCTGCCCACTCATCCATCAGCAGTGAAAGGTAACTCTCAGTCCTGCGATTCCTCAGATAGTGAAATAAATAGTGAAGATGGATCTCCAACCTTTGTTCAACTTCGACCAGCAAAACGACGCCGTAAAAGTCAAAGCCGGGAGGGAATCTTTATAGGTCCTAAACGTGTCAAACAGGCTAGGCTCGTAAGAGAGCGGCAGGAACGCCGGCACCGCCACCTGCAGGAGCAACTGCGTCAGACAGAGCTGGAGGAACAAATCCAAGCAATAAGAGCCGAGAAGTCGAGTGAGGAGGATGGACCGCTTGGCAACATGTTAGTCAAGTCCTCCATCATCTTGGCAGACTCACAGATGGAGGAACAGGACAATGTAGAGCAGTGCATTGCCACCATCAAGGCGCAGCAAATGGCTGTCAACTCATCTGAATCAGGCAATGAGCCTGACAGTGGGGACAAACTTTCTTCATCCTCGGGACAGGTGGTGGGTAAAAAAGCAAAGAAATCACATACCAGTAAAGTGTTCCATAATGAGAACTCAGTGATCATAAAAACGCTTCCACGACCTGTGTCAACTCGTAAATTAAGAGCCAAGGATTTTAAATGGAGCCATTATATTAAGTCTATGAGGTATTGGTGTAGTGACTGTGCTCATGGCTTTAAAAACCAGAAGGAAGTGGCATTGCATTCTGAAGACCGGTGCAAATGGAACTGTCTCTACATGCTTGAGTGTTATGTCATTGTGAAGGATGTCCAAGCTCACCCTCAGTATGGACCAAAGGTAATAACCATGCTTTGTTTTCTCTTCTGATTATTTTGTAGATATCCTTTTTATCAATCCATTCACAACAGGTATAGTAAGATTGGTTTAAAGTTGCTTGAAATCATAGAATACACAATAAAACGGTTGGCATGAATATATAAGTATTTATGGTTTTGAACATAATGAAGTAAAGCATTTCCAAGATTTTCTTCTCCCCATGTTGTCATTTGAACTATCCGGTTTTCTCTTTGTATGCAGGATTCATGAATAATCATTTTAGGATTTTGTTTGTTTACACTGTTGTTGCCAAATGCCATTTCACAAAATGTCATGGTAGAAAGGGTTGAATGGGGTTTGGATTTTGCTGTTTTCATAAGCAAACAAATAGACATATCATTGCTCTTCTGGTAAGAGGTTGAGTCTACTCCTGGAAAGTACTTTAGATGATACTTTTTTCAGTAAGCCATAACGATTTGAGGGCATGTGCATCTGAAGGTGTTCGTAGATCATTGCCCAAAAATGTGTTCATTAAATGTTTTGTTAATTTAAACATTCATCGATAACAAGCAGCAATAGATTCTCATTAAAGCACTACTGTATCATGATTGCTGTTCATAAATATGAATATATTGATGCTTATGGTATAGATGAATTTTTAAAATAACAAAATATTTAATAAATGCATTTTTGGGCAACTGGTATGAGAATACCTTTGGATGTGCTTGCCCTCATTTAATGGTACCTGACCAGGAATAAAATGATGCTCAAGTTTAAAAATGATGATTGAAATATTTATGTGGTAGATGTCTTTAACCCCTTGGATCTGGTTGCTTCACAGAAATGACAAGGACCAAAATACAGGCATTAGGTTTACTTGAGTGGCCACTCTGCTGGGTTTGTGGCTTGTATGCTGGGCGCACATGAACACTTGTCTGTGGTGACAAGGCCTCCCCCTTCCAATATTGTTTTCTCTTTTTTTTTGCATGAGCATTTTTAGCTTTTTTGCCATTTTCCAAAGTCCATATTTGTCATTTGATTTGTTTTATCCAGATGGTAGTAGTCTGTTTTCCTTGCACAGACTCCATATCATCCCTCCAGGTAGTAGATAACATTTTGTTATTTGTGTCATTATATAATTATTATTATTTTTTTTTCCGATATTTAATTTTCTGTAATACAACCTCTGCTGCCAGTCATACCGTCCAGGAACAGAATGCAAAGTATGGAAATAGCATCCTCCCTGGAGCCACTCTTCCAGGCATGGCTTATGGACACTACATTCCACGCTCGTTTATTAATGGGTATAATGCTAAAGGCCCTTTCTAAATGCCAAATGAGTCTAATCAAGAGGTCTGTGCACTTGTGGCGAGTCTTTCCTGTCACCTTGGCGCATCAGCCATTTTTTCCCGTGACAGCTTGTTCATGTCACTTGCCCCTCAAACTAGATTTTGTCATGATGCGATGGGTTAATGTTGTTCATTTTATAGTCCATTTATCATGGTGTAATCAATACATATTAAAGAGTTTCTGCTTGTTTCATACAAAGTTTTAGTAGTCTATGAATAACTTGTATTTGTTTTTATTTAAGCACGAGCAAGATAAATAACATATATTTCTTAGCTGTATGACATCCATAACTTGTGCAGAATTGAATTTTGCTTCTTATTTGTGCTGTACTGAGATTTTACCTAGGTATTTATAATTTAATTGCATGAATTAGAGTACATGAATATTAAGAAAGCTCATTAAAGTATTTCTATACATGTATGAGGAAATGTACTTTTTTAAATGTCATTAGGGTAAGATGGATATGAAGCAAAAGGTTGGCACCCCTTGAGGATATTTCATCCAGATCTCACCATTATAGAAATCATTTTTGGGTCTTTGTGTTCCCCAATCTCTTGGGTAATCACAAGCTTCTTTAATGTTCATATGGAACTTTGCAATTGCCCACATGTATATACTTTTCTAATACACAATGTAGTAGAAATTATGACAAATTTCCAGATGCATATGATTTCATACAAAAAATTGGTATATTGGTTAGGTTCAAAGTAACCACCAAAATGGTAGAAGTTTGGACAAGCTTTTAGGGCATAATATAATGTAGGGTTGCATTACTATTACTATAGCTCCTCTTTATCCAGGACAAGTAGCTTTGAACCTTTGTGAAAAGAAAATAGTTGTTAGTAATGCTATGAGGAACATTAGATATATTAACCTCTATGATCTGGATTATATAATCATCATGACACAAAAAAATTTGGCTTAAGGGGTGGTTGACGGGAACATGCCATCATGGAAAAATTTGACTGAGAGCCAGGGTGATGGGAACTTGCCGTCATGAGAATTTTGTCTTACAGGAATGACTAACCACAAGTGCACAAAGTTCTTGGAGGGTGATTAGACTCAATAGGCATTTGGGAAAGGGCTTTTGCTTTATTTCCATTGATAATTGAGTATAGAATGTGCCATCCATGAGCCATTACTGTAAGAGCGATGGCTTTATGAAGGACACTGTTTCCATGGTCAGAATTCTATTCCTGCTCACCATGACCAGTAGTACAGGTTGTATTACAGAAAATTTAGTCTTACAAAAAATAAAAAGAGACATTAATAATAGTGTCACATTGTTATTATTATTACACTAAGTTATGGATTGTCTGGAGAGATGAGATGGAATCTGTAGGAGGAAAATAATCTATTATCATCAATAAAGCTAATCAAATGACAAATATAGGTATTAGAAAATGGCAAAAAAGCTAAAATTGCTTATGCAGAAAAGAAAAAATAACATCTCAAAGGGTAGGCATGGAGTCTTGTCATTGCAGATGAGTAATATGTCTATCTGGCTTACTTGCCATATACCCATCAGAGTGGCTTCTCAAGTAAGCCCAGTACCCATATTTGGGTCATGTGTGGGCATTGAAACATCTGGATCCAAGGGATTAAGATTTTTCAACATAACAGTTATAACATACAGTTACTAATGCTGCTCTTGCTAACCATAGTTAAAACTGTGCAGCCCCCACCTTGTAAGGACTGTTTGAGCTGTTTCAGAAAGGAAAATCTCCTTTTCTCATTAGGAGCTTTATGTTTAAAGTGAAACACTACTACCAATAGCTTTAAAAGGTATGCATGTTGAACGTCTTGAGATTTGGTATATCTAGAAGGAAGCCCCACACAACCACAGTTGCTATCCTTTGTAAAAGCAGCTGCTCTTCCTCATGACTTGAAGGTGCTTGATTTTTTGTTGACTACAAATATAATCTTTCAAAGTGCTTTTTCCAATATTCCAATTTTTGGGTGCTTGATGTATCTTCAGATTTCTGTCTCCATCATCAGGTACATTTTTCTAATTTTCTCTAGTACATTGTTATCGGTATGTTTAAAGATAGGGTCAAAGTTATTGGTATCATTTTTGTTATTAGCATCTCTTTTCCTTGTGTGTATTTATTGTTCTGTGTGTATGTTATCACACATGTTCAACAAACAGAACTGGAATTAAGTTTTCAGTATTTTTTTTTTTTTTTTTTACAGTCTGCATATCAATAGATTGTTTCCAAATTTCACTGACAAAATGAGTAAGAGACATATAACATAACTGCAGATTAGTTATTAGTTATAAACTTAATAAGCTCAAACTTTGGATGTTCCAGCCTCACATTTATTGCATATTCCTGATTATACTAAAACTGTAGATATTCTTCAACAATATCAGGCAATTTTCAAAAATTATAACTTTGTCAAGTGTCATGTTAGAAACGCCATTCTAGTATGAGGACATCTACCATCTGCCGCTGAAATCATGTCTTCTTAAAAGGCTAAAAAATGAGGGGGGATTTTATAATCTTTTTGTAGCACAGTGCAGTGTATACATCTCAAGGTTTTAACTGTCAGAAAAGGATAGCAATCTGTTCTCTTTTGATTGAAGTTTGATAAAACAGGTATGCAAGAAAACTGGAAAAAAAAAAATGAAAAGATCAGCTTGACTCTATTCCATGGAATTTTCAGAGGAATATTTGGTCTACAACTTATTGGGAAAACTTAGGCTGCATGGTCACTGAAAATGATGCTTGCTTAGATAATTTGAAATGTCTTTAAGCAAGTCATATAGTTAGTATGAATTTACAAAGCTGTGTAGCCTTCTTTATAGGCTTCCACCATGCAGATTAAGGTGGCAAAGTATTGATAGATACCTGGGAAAGATATTGACAAAAAAACAAAGAGCAAGCTAGTTATTAAAGATATTTGCACATTTAGCAATTAGTATTAAAATTAGAGCAGAGAAGATTATCTTCCAATTCCCCTTACATCCAATTTGAAATAACCCATTAGCAGCTGAATTCAGAATTGGCTAGTGGCCAGTAATGTGGGTTGTTGGCAGTTTCCCGTGTTCGCACCCTGCAAGTTTGGTACTTCACACACAATATAGGCAATATAGGGACCTTTTTTTTTTTTTTTTTCTACAATTTTTCTTGCCGATTTTGATGAAACTCACACCCTTTTATTTAGGCCCCTTCCCATTGCCTGTGGTTGATTTTTTTTTTTTTCGAAATCGGCCAAACAGTTTTTGAATTATCTAAAAAACAAAAAAATGCGGAAGTCGCCATGTTGAAAATGCAGTACGTGGGTAAAAGGATTCTGACTTCGGAAATGATAAGACATTCAATTTTACTTGATTTTTTGGTAGAACTATTCAATATCTACAACTTTATCATTGTAGATTTTTCAATTTCGACTTTTTTTTGGTGAATTTTTGGAGTAGGGGACTTCACGAAAATCAAAAACAATAAAAAGATTTCTTACATTTCTCACTTTCTCTAGAAGCACAGGCAAAAATTGCAAAATCCCTAATGATCAAGTTGTAGATATTCATTTTTCTACCAAATGAGCCATAATATGTTAATTTTGGACCCTTTTATCCAACCCTAAAGGTGGTGAACCGAGATATCAACATTTTTCGTTTTCTTTATCTCTTCATGACTATCTTGGTATCAACAAAACAAGGAATAAGA